TTCTTCTTTCCCCCCCCCACCAATGTCTGTTTTAATTCCAGCATTTCCTTTCTGCGCTGGAAAAACAATTCTCTCTCCTTTCGCTTCCCGCCCGTTCTTTTTTGTATCTTTTTCCGCGTGGGGAAACTTCACTTCTTCTGCTTCCAGATCTTCCTTTCTCATTTCTCTCCCCCGCAGGCAAGCGCCTCGCTCGTTTCTAGAATCTTCCTTCTGGTTTCTTTCACACCCCCCATTCTGACAGGAAACCCCAGGGACACCCTGGAGGGCTGGCGTCCGTGGGACCTGGACGTCACCCTAAGTGGCATTTTGGACCACACACGTGTCCCTCGCTGGACACGCCGGCCCCGGGCTGCCGCACGCTCCCAGCTGATGGCTACGCAGCAGCGGCCACTCTCGGCCCCGGGGACCTTGCCCCGCGGGAACCCTGGGGCGAGTCCCCGCCTCCGCGCCCCAGACCCCCCGCAGGAGCCGGGGTCCTCCAGCCGGAAGTCGCCCGGACCCCACGCCGCCGCCCCCGCAGCCTCCTCCGAGCCTCTTCAGCAAAGTGATTTCTCGGAAAGGCGATGGCTTAGCAGAAGGCGGGCCGGCCTCGGCGTGCCCATTGGGCAGCCCCGGGCCCGCCCCCGCGCCCCATTGGCCGGCGTGGCCGCCGCTCGGCGTGGGGCGGGGCGTGGGTCCGCCCTCCTCTTAAAGCGCGGCTCGAGGCAGGTTCTCGCCGGGCGGCTGGCGTGGGAACGCGGGCGGCGGGCGCTGAACGCGGGCGGCGGGCTCCGGGCAGGTAGGCAGCGGCCCCTCGCCGGGCGGAGGACAGCAGGGGCACTGAGTGTCCGGACGTGGGGTGGACACTCCTCAGGGCAGACTCAAGAGACCCTGAGGCACTACCTTGGTCTCCCCGCACAGGGGTCCGAGTCCTGGAGGCTGGACTGGATGCCGCCTAAAAAAACCCAAAAAATCTCTCGTTTTTCTGAAAATCTGGGGTGCGTGGAAAACGCGGGACGGGGGCTCGTGTAACGCAGAGGAGTGGACAGCGAGCGACCCTGCCCTGGGGACCCTCCGGGAGGGGGACGCCCGCTGCCCCCGGCGGGGACGCTGCAGCCGCTCTGCGAGGCTGCACAGGCCACTGACACTGGCTGTGAGGTCACGGGTTCACGGAGCAAAGGGCTTCCCGGCAAGGGACCCCACCACCCGGCCAGAGCTGCGGGGACAGCGGGCCCAGGGCTGCGGAGCCGTGACCGTGACCCCCGACCCCTGACCTCTCGGGGTCATGGCCCACGCCCCCTCTCCCCGGGAGACCTGTCTCCACTTGGCCCCTTCCCCCTGAAAACCAGCTAGGGGCCCCGGAGCACCTGGGAAAAAATGCAGCAGGTGCTTCCTGGTTGACTCAGAGGTGACTGGGTCAGTCTTTGGGGGAAGGACTAGGTGCTGGGCTACTACCCGCAGGTAGGGGGTCCAAGCCCCCCGCCTGCTCAGTGCTGCTCCCCCTGGGCCACTAGGAGCTGCTCGGGACTCCGAAGCCACGAGGCCGTGTGGTTTTGGGGGGGCCAGTCAGGAGAAAGGCTTGGAGTGCCATTGGGGTGGCAGGGCTTCTGGGCAGAGGTGGGGGTCCCAGGGGCTCACGTGCAGGTAGAACACGTTGCATCTGCGCCCAGCTCTTTCTGGAATCCAGGTTGGCAGCCGGGAAAGTGGCTTATCACTTCCCTTCTGAGAACCCTCCCTGGTTTATAGAGATGCAGATAACACTGCCGAGGACCCTGCGGAGAGAGCTGGTGCCCAATGCCCAGGAGAAGGCCGGGCTGGCAGGGCTGCAGCCAGGACTCTGCACGGCTTCTTGCTTGGCATGGCTTGTGGGTTCCCTCTGGACGGCAACCCACTCAGGGCCCACCCTCCAGTGGGTTTTCAGAGGCGGTAAATCTCATGAGCGAGGTTGCTCCCCCTCTCATGGAGCAGCTGGTGGATTCACACCCTGTGTTTTGGGGTTGAATCCTGTATCTTTGGATCAGTAGCCAGCTCCTCACCACTGAGCCCCCAGAGCACCCCAGGTGGGGCTGCAGTGTGTGTGTGTGTGTGTGTTGTGTGTGTGTGTGTGTGTGTGTGTGTGTGTGTGTGCAATCAATCTGTGAATGTCCAGAAGATCAGAACTGTGGAAGATGGTTAGTACATCTCCAGGCTCTGTGCTCGCCCTGTGTGAACTCAGACCTCAACCCTGGGCTTCCCTGGGCTTTTCTGTGAGTAGAACAGCTTCTGGGAGACCCTGGGTGTTTGCTGTACCTTTCTGGTCCTCACTTTGTCCTCTTTGCAACAGCGAGCGCTGGCCTGGATGCTTGTAAAGCACTTCCCAGCTGCTCTAGCCTGGGCTCCCCTCTTCCTCTCAGTACCACATCTCTTTTCTTTTCCTGTGAGTCACCAAGGCCACCATCCTGAATGGTTTTGGGGTTATGACAAAAAAACCTCCCAATCTTTTCTCTAGAAAAATATCCATGAAGACAAAATTTTGCTTCTGATTTCTGGAATCTCAGGATCCCAGTCTAAAGTGAGCCATGTGTGGAGTGGGGATGTGTCATTTGACTGATATGAACCCCTTTGTTGTTTTCTGACAAATACCCTGGTGGCACAGGGGTTCAACACTCAGCTGGTAAGTGAAAGGTCAGTGGTTCAGATCTACCACCTACTCTTCGAGAGAACAGTAAGGTGAATCGGCTTCCAGAAAGATTTCATCCTCGGACACCCGAAGGGGCAGGTCTGCTCTGTCCCCCATGGGGGCTGTGGGTCAGGGGAGACTGGGTGTGCCCCTACTGAGTTCTTCTCAGGTTTGGTTTGATTCCTCTCACTAGATGCCTCTCCTAAATTGATCCCTTCTTATTTATAAAGACAGTGGATTGTTTTCCAGTTTCAAGAGGACTGGAAAGGCAGCTCCCTTTTCTACAGGTGGGAGGAGGTGCAGTGGCTAAAGCATTTGGCTTTCAGAGGCTGTAAGGCCAGCAGTTCAAACGTACCGTACGGCTGCTCCTGGGGGTCTGCTCCCGTAAAGGCCACGTGCATGGATTCCCACTGCCTGTGAGCTGTTTTGAGTTGGAATTGGTTCAGTATCAGTGGGGATAACGGGGTGTGGATGGGAGAGCTTCAAAGGAGTCCATATGATGCTCCTGTGTCTTCTTGGGAAAAAATCTGCTAGAACTCATGCCCAGTTCAGCCTTACACACTAAAGTAAACCAAACCCACTGTCGTCAACTTGAGTCTGACTCACTCCCACCCTCCATTGGGTTTTTGAGGCTGTAAACCTTCCCAAGACAAGACTGGTGTGTCTGTCTGCCTGGAATCAGCTGGTGGCTTTGAACTGTTCACCTCTCAGTTAGTAGCCCAACACTTAACCTATGATGCTGTTAAGCAGCTGACCCTCTTGCGGATTTTCAGAGGCAGTAAATCGCACAGAAAGGGTTGATCCATTCTTCTTCTGTAACATACTATACCCCTTTTAAATCCATCAATGGGAAGCTGAGGTTATTAGATGAAAGAGCTTCAAGAAAATGGGGACTCCGTGAGCTCACTGATTCATCCTGGGCCTGTGCCCCTGTCTTGTCCCCACCGCCATCTGCAGTTTCCCAAACAGCCATTTCTTGCAGTAATTAACTGGAGGTTGTCCAGCTTGGTGGGCCAGAGTGGCTCTGGATGTGATGACCTTGTTCTTGGGGACATTATGTTCTATCAGTGCTGATTGTTCCAAGCGCCTTTGCCTAGAGAGGTCATATTTTGATCAGAAGAGCAATGCTGTTTTGTTTTGGTTTGAGGTGGGAGTCTGTCCAACGATCTAGGGGCTTTCCAGCCCTGTTCTTGTAAGTGATGGCTGTAAGTCAGTATAGCATAGCTGTTCTCTGTGCTGTTGGGAAAGCTTTTTGTCCTTCTAGGGGTGCTGTTGGATGCTCCCTCAGTTGTGGTATTTTCTGGAAAGGTCTGGCCATTCTCACTCTGTTCTCATCTGCAACCAGAATTGGCCTCCTCACTCTTATCATAAGGAGTCATTAGTGAGAAAGGTTGGATGACAACAGCATACCTATTACTTGGAGAGAGAACCTTCTAGAACCAACAAACACTGTTTCTGGTGCCTTATAGACATCAATTTAGTTCTTCCCATTGACACTGAAAAGCACTCACAGTCACACTGGCTTTAGGGAGTTGATTGACAATGCAAGTTTGCCCAGGGCTGCCTTGTTCCCAAGCTCTTGTCACTAACCAGGTGGGGAAGAACAATCTAGAAGGAAGGTCTAGTCCTCTTGGAGAGCTTCCTTGTCATCCTGATTCTGTTGAGAAATACTCTGGGCCAGTCCTCAAGACACTGGCTTGGTTCTCGAGTTGTCATGTTCTAGTGTTGTTCTCACTGAAAGCCCACCCAGCCCCCGCATTGCACAGCACCCTGCAGGACAGAGCCGGACAGCCTGCGTTTCCAAGGCTGCAGAGCTTCACAGAAGCAGATTGCCACATCTTCCCCACTGCCAGCCTTTGTTAGCACCACAGTGTTTAACCCACCGCACCACCAGGACTGCCAGCATTCCTAAGGTGCCTGAAGACGCTTCATGTTGAAAGTGGAAGGGTGCGCTGGGATGTCACTGTGTCCAGGTGTGACACATCAGGTGCAAGCTGACCCAGGAAAAGCTCAGCCCGGCCTGAAGGTGGGGCCGGACACCTGCCCGCATGGAGCAGGTTTTCTGGGAGCTGTCATCTGTCAGCCTGTTCCTGGCCCTGGAGCAGGGTGGCCTGCATTGTCTTCTCACACCGCGTGCTCTCAGCTTTCCTGGGGCTGGGATTTCCCCCCAAGCAGGAGGAAACCCGGGTCCTGTCCCCAGAGGTCCTGTCCCCAGAGGTCCTGCGGCTGCTGTGTTCCCCGTAGGCCATCTTCACCTCTGTATCAGCCGCCGGCTTTCTGGTCTTGGGCCCAGGAGTCTGTGGGCCAAGGTGGACAGCGAGACTATGTTGCCAATACCCCGGATCTGCTTCTTTCCCCCAGGATGTGTGATCGCAATGGGGGCCGGCGGCTGCGGCAGTGGCTCATCGAGCAGATCGACAGCAACCTGTACCCGGGGCTGATCTGGGAGCACGACGAGAAGACCATGTTCCGCATCCCTTGGAAGCATGCAGGCAAGCAAGATTACAACCAGGAAGTGGACGCCTCCATCTTCAAGGTAGAGCCCCTCTCTGTCCCCGCTGACGGGGGCCGAGTGCACATCCCCACCTCCTCTCGTGACGGGGGCAGGTGGGGAGCGATGTCTGTCTTATTTATTTAAAAATTAACCCAATCTTTAGAAAACAGACATCAGCTGAGTCCCACACAGTATATAACAGGAACCTCCACGTCTGTTAGGAGCCTTGATAGCACAGTGGCAAAGTGCTGAGCTGCTGTCTGAAAGAGCAGTAGTTCGAACCCACCAGAAGAAACCTGTATCAGTCTATAAAGATTCATAGCCTTGGAAATGCTGTGAGGTCGTTCTGCTCTGCCCTAGAGGGTCCCTGTGGGTGGGAACTGATTTGAGGGCAGTGACTTTGGCTCTGGGGTTTGCATATGTTGGATTGTTGAATTACCTTTGAGATCATGCCATTGCTGCTGCCTGTGATGAGTGATCTGAAGGTACTTCCTCCACGTGCCCTCTCATTGCCCAACAAATGAGGAGAGAAAACACTTTTTGGGGTTCTCTTGAAAAGCTTTATCTTTGGGCCGCCATTCTCATCTTCAGGGATGACATGACACACTGGAGAAGTCACTGTATCAGAAGAGGGGCTGTTACGTGGCACTGCATCCACTTGGCCAAGCCAGACACCCCGAGTCATCTGTTGGGGGGCAGGTTGTGTAGGCCATCCTCACCCTGCAGCGTATGTCTCACATCCCTGGAGAATAGAAGGGTCCAGACACGAAGGGGCTGGCGCTTTGCAGTGGGCCAGCCGGCACTGACTGGGGAGTGATCCATGCCCTGGCCAGCCCTCTGTGCCCCTTGTCATTGCATTCCCATCACAGGGCTGTCTGGGGAGTGCTGCTGTTACCCGAGTCTTAAGTGGCACCAGAGGAGTGCGGATTTGTCGAAAGTCTCACAGTTCACAGCTGAGCTCTGGCTTCCCGACTTCGAGCCTCCCTTACAGCCCCTAAGCTCGCTGGTGCGTTCACCCACTGCCAGAGTCCGGTCCAGCTCACAGTGACCCTGAAGGAGAGATGATGGCCTCATCTTTTTCCCTTGAAGCAGCTGGTGGCTTTGAACTCCTGACCTTTTAGTTAGAAACTTAATCCACTGTGCCACCAGGGCTCCTTAGCTATGATGCAAATAGATGTGATTTCTCATTATTCTGCCTAGATTCATTCGGCCGTAGAGGCAGGAACCAGGGAAGCTCAGTTCTGACCTGGTCCTCATGGCCACCTAGGTCATGGCTGTGAGGACCGTGGTCATCAGTTACCTGCCAGGGCCCTCAGCACGGGCTTTTCTGAGCTCCAAGTGTCCAGACCTGACCCTGGGAGATGCAGAGGTCATAGGTGAAGCTTCCACACCACAGGAGGGCCAGAATCAGCCCCCAAGCAGTGAGGAGGCGAGTGGGGTGGCCTAAGTCCCTCCACCAGGATTGCACCTCTGTTCTGGTCAGCGGTGCCGGGAAGGTAGGGTGCTGGGAAGGCAACTGTGAGTCATCAAGGCTGCTGAAGACACGTACATGCGTCAGTAGTTCTGTCCACTCTGTGACCTTGTAGACACAGCTCTTTGAGGCTCTGGTGCTAATTACGAGTCTTTGCCCAGAACACGGGCATGAACAAATGCACCCCACACAGCCACAGACACTTCAGATTTCCTAGTCAAGGACCCAGGTCCAGGAGCTGGACATTTCCAGGCTTCCTGTGGTGCCCCCACCTGCTCTTTCCTCATGGTGAGGTCCCCTCTCGCACCTTTAAGCACCAGGCGTCAGGGGCAATGGCTCTTGGGAACATCTCAGACTAAACAGAACCAGCGGCACATTCCACTGTAGTTCTCCGGGAGAACTAACTCCCACTGCCGACGTCTGGGCCTGGGCCCTTCTCTGTGGTGGGGGCTGCCCTGTGTACTAGGGTGCTGAGCGTGCCCCTTCCCTCCTCTCTGTGGCTCTTCCCCAGTAGAGACATCAGCACTGCCCAGACGCCACCCTCCCCATGGGAAGCATGCTCTAAGTTGGCCGTGGCTGGGATGAACTTGGATGTACTGGCCGCTGAGGGCAAAGTGTCTTAGGGGAACAATGGCGGGTGCCGGACAGTGGGCCGTGCAACCTGGGCGTGGCACTGCCATAGCTGTACCACTCACCCTCCTCCCTTGTCCCTGCCTCAACGTCTGCCCTGGCAGTAATGAAATCAAGCCCCAGATTTATACATCTTATGCAATGCTTGTCATGGCCGTTTCAACAGCATTGAGAAAAATGTGCAAGATTCCCAATGTTTCCGTTGATTACACAGTTGCTCAGTGTGGCAATCTGAAATGAGTCTACAATCTCAGCAGGAGTGGGCTGAGGGGAGGCGGTGGGTGCCTGGGGGCGCTGGGAGGCACGGGGAGGGTATGGACTGAGGGGAGATGGTGAGTGCCTGGCGGAGTTGGGAGGCACGGGGAGGATACAGGCCGAGGGGAGGCGGTGGGTGCCCGGGGAAGTTGGGAGGCATGGGGAGGGACAGGCCGAGGGGAGGGAGGCACGGGGAGGGTACAGGCTGAGGCGGTGAAAATACAGCCAGCAGGAGCCCATGGTGATGTCTGGAGCTCGGCAAGTGGAGCTGCACGCTGGTTTCCAGTTTCTGAGAGGCCTGTGCTGCTCATGCTGCTGGTGGTGGCGATGGTGGGTGGTGTTGGTAGTGGTGGTGTTGGTGTTGATGTTGGTAGTATTGGCATTGGTGCTGCTGGTGATACAAGTGGTGTTGGTGGTGTTGATACAGGTAGTTGGTGTTGATGCTGTTGGCAATGTTGGTGTTGGTGCATGTTGTGTTGTGTTGTATTGTTGATATAGGTAATTGGTATTGATATTGCTGATGGTGTGGTAGTGTTGGTTGAGTTGGTGGTGTATCAGTATGGACTGTGTAGGTAGTTGGTAGCATTGGTGATGGTGTGTGCAGTATTGACTGTGTAGGTTGTTGGAGTGGTATTGATTGTGGTGTATGCAGTATTGACTACCTCGGTTGTTGGTAACATTGATGGTGGTTTGTGCAATATTGACTGTAGGTCATTGGTAGCACTGTTGGTGGTGTGTGCAGTATTGACTGTGTAGGTCGTTGGTGGCACTGTTGGTGGTGTGTGCTACTGTACTGACTGTATACCTAGTCAGTGCTACTGCTTCTGCTGGTGATGGTAGTGGTAAGTGGTACTGGTGTTGGAGGAAGCCAACAGTCTGATCATGCTTGCAGAGTCATTTTAGGGCTATTCTGATTAAGTAGAGAACCTTTTTGTTTTGTGTCAGACACTCAGAATAAAAGTTCGGAGATCTGAGTGAAGGGGAAGCCTGGTGCCTGCTTGCTTTCTGAGCAGGAGAAGCCCGCAACCCTGTCACTGTTCACACTGTGGCGAGGAGCAGCCTGGGGCAGTGAGAAGGCACGCACGTAAGCACTTCTCTCCGAGTCCTGAGGAAATCGTTTGGCCTCCTTTCATAAAGGTGAAGCAGAGAAAGAAGGAAGCACACTGGGTGAGGGCTGTGGGTTCCTGGTCTCCACGGACCAGCTCAGTGACTGGGTCTAAGGAGTCAGAGCTACTGGGAAGCAGCACAGTGCGAGCCTGCAGGCCTCGGGGCCTGTGCCCTGGGAAGTGAGCCGAGAGCTGTCCCGGTGGGCCTCAGGCTCCCCGTCCTTGTCTGACCTTGGCCTCTGGGCCACAGCCTTACAGCAGGCCCAGCTGTGCTGTCATGGGCACCATCTCTGACGTGGGCCCTGCTTTGATTTAGGCACTTCTGGCTTTTCTTGGGCCGAGCAGGGCCAGTAACTGAGCAATTGGTTCTGGTAGAGCCTTGGACTTAGCTGCTGCCCGGAAGCTGTGGTGGTGCAGAGGATGAGTGCTTGGTTGCTAACCGAAAGGCCGGCACTTGCGGCCCACCAGCCCCTCTGCAGGAGACGCACGTGCTTCCTTGGTTCCAAGAGGCGCCTCTACTCTCCTCCAGCATCACTGAGAGTCAGGGTTGGCCTGACCGCGGTGTGTTGGCTTGTGCGTTTGGTTCAGCGTCACTGTCTTGGAGTCCAGGTGACTCGACGGTTAAGTGCGGTCCTGCTAACTCAGAGGTCTGAGGTTTGAAGACACGAGCCGCTCTGTGGGGGGAGGACGAAGCATTGTCTCCATGAAGACTCACAGCCTTGGAGGTCCGCTCCACCCTGCAGGGTCAGGCTGGGTCAGAACAGACTGAGGTCCGTTTGTGATAGGGATTCTCCAGTGGTCCTCCAGTGCTGAGAACTGGCCCCGAGGGGACTCTGGTGGCCTGGGGGGCAGGTCTGTGGAACTGTCATCCTCTGTTGCTGGTGTGGTTCAGGGAGGCTAGCCATGTGATGCCCATGTCTTTGTGACAACCTAGCCTGTAGAGGCTGGGGAAGCTCTTGGACACCCTCTCTTGTGCTGCAATGCTCCCCTACCCCCTAGAGTGACCCATTCCCAAGCTGGCAGTGCCAATTAATAGGAACCCCGATTCAAAGGAACACACATCTGACTTTTCACTTAGAGCATGGCCTGCTCTCAGTTTTTTGTTGTGTGTGTTTTTTGGGTTTTTTTTTGAGAAAAACAAGTTAATACATGATCAATGATGCGATGATGCGATTTGCCAAGAACAGAAGAACCGCAGACCATTACATTTTGAGACTATTTCTAAGGAGAAGTTTTGCATCTGTGTCAGAAGCAGACCCGCCCCCCTGAGGTGGGAGCACGCAGCCAGCCTGTGCCCCTCAGGCACAGATGCGGCAGTTGAGCCTGGAGCAGCGACCTGCAGCCACTGGCCTTGGGATGGGCCTTTCCCAGTGGGCCCGAGAATTGCCCCTAGTTCTGGAGTTCTTTTCTCACTGCACACATATTCACACAGTTCTCGTGTGCTGGGGTGAAGGACAAACAGTATCTTTCTTTTTTTTTAAATTTTTGTGTGAGTGTACCGTCAAATCAGATCTGACTGGTACAGGAGGAGATTGTCCCTCCTTTTCCCGGCAGAGCATCTGGTGGATTCAAACCATGTGCCTCTGGGATTATAGTTGCAGCTCCTTGCCACTAGGCCACCAGAGCTCCCTGACAAACGGTATCTTTTTTTTTTTTAATTTAGGTTGTTTATTTTTCATTTCAATGAACATCTACAGAGACTTTGGGATTCCATTCATTCATTGTTGCACCCTTCTCCCCGCACAAACGGTATCTTAAGGAAGCTCTTCCACATTTGGAGCCAGCCCAGCTCACGGCCGTCTTGTCCATCTGCCTCCCGGCGGCCCAGTAGGGCAAGGGGAGCAGCCGTAGGGTTGTGAGGAGGGACGTCTTCCTGGAAGCAAGCTGCCTCCCTTATCTTTCTCCCAAAGTGCTTTGGTTCAAACCAGAGAACTTTAGGTTAGAGCGAGATGCCGCAACCAGAGCACCACTAGAGTATTTTATACAGAGTCAAGATGTCCTGATGGGGACTAGTCAATGCTATGGCTTCATCTAAAGACAGAGGTTCAGTGTGGTTATAAGCAGATGCTTCTTAACTGATATGTGTGTATTTAAATGTTGAAGTTTTAACGTATGCTCACACACATCCTCTCTCTCTCTCTCTCTCTCTCTCTCTCTCACACACACACACACACATTTTAACAATGTCCCAGTCTCTCTATGCATGCTTCAACTCTCCACTTTTGACTTACTTGTCCAAGTTCTGCCAAGTTTTGCAGAAGTTGAAAAACAGCTTTCTTTCTCTCTCTCTCTCTCTCCCCATATTTATTATCTATCTATCTATCATCTATCATCTATCATCTATCTTCTCTCTGTCTCTCTCTCCATATTTTATATATATATATATCTAGATATGCACGTACACGTAAAACCAACAGAGGGAAACATTTCATTGCATTTTTAAATAGTCCCCTGGGGAAACACCTAGAATAAATGTGAAAATGCAAAATGAATGTCTATTAAAAGTCCTCTGATGGTGGATGACCACAGGCTTGGTATTCCTTTTTCAGGCTGGATTTTGGCTAGAGGTTAATTTGGGCCAGGGGTAGAAGGATGGGAAGATGAGGAGGTGGGAAAATGAGGCCGCAAATTATTCTTTGTTTTGAAACATTCTGGTGAAAACACACATGACTTCCTCTTTGCACTGCTGACCCCCAGCTTCTCTGGGCCTCAGAGTCCAGGGTGGGCTTTGCTGAAAGTCATCCAGGGTTCAAGGTCTGGAATTGAAGATCCCAGCCCTGTGATTGAGGTGGAGATCCCCTCTCCTCTCCTGAGCCTTTGAGCATTTAAAGACTGTGGCTGGACTGAGGCTCGTTGGGTCCTCAGGTTGCTTGACCCAGAGCTCTAGCATGGCACAGAAACACTTGGAGAAGGCCGGGAAGGCTGGTGCGGGGCAGCTTCGCTGGGCCCTGGAGGTGGAGGGGTGGCTGCGTGTTCACTGGTACTCTTTCTCTCTCTAGGCCTGGGCAGTTTTTAAAGGGAAGTTTAAGGAAGGAGACAAAGCTGAACCAGCTACTTGGAAGACGAGGTTACGCTGTGCCTTGAACAAGAGCCCAGACTTTGAGGAAGTGACAGAGCGGTCCCAGCTGGACATCTCTGAGCCGTACAAAGTTTACCGGATCGTGCCCGAGGAGGAGCAGAAATGTAACTACAGGGAGACGGTCGGGGGTGGGTGGGTGGGCGGGGGAGGCCACGCTCAGGGTCAGAGCCAGCCCACTGGCTACACAAAGCCGCTCTTTCCTTTGCATAAGCAGAGCTCTTCCCTCTGACCTCTTGCACCATCTGCTGCCCCGGGGCAGTGTCCGGTGGTGTGGGAGGGGCCAGGGGCTGGGAAGGCAGGACTGGGCTCCGGTTCAGCTCAGCTGCTTGCTCATCGTGTGACTGTTGATGGGCTGTGAGGCTCCCAGAGCCTGGGCTTGTGATTAGAGGGAGCCAGGTTCTTTCAGCCCGTGGTCACCAGCAGCTCTTGTGTTTCCTAGCAACTCGCTATGGGCAACCTGCGGGATGGTATGGATGGAGGGTAGAGGTCATTGAGAGTGAAATTCTTAGATGAAGTTGCAGAAGACGACACTGCTGGCTTCCTTGGTGCAGACTGGACAAAGCCCCAAGCCCAGTGTCTGTTGACTTAATTACAGCTAATGGCCAGCCACTGAGCACCAGGCTGGACCCGGACTCTGCTGGGCCTCTGGTGGTTGGTGTGTCAGAAGTCCATCTTCAGACCTTCCTTCTGAGACGCCTGTGGGTGGACTCAGCACGGCTTTTCCATTAGTGCCTGAGAATATTAACTCTGCCCACCACCAGGGAGATGGCTGCTGGTCACTGCTCTTGAGGCAGTTCTTTTTTTTTTTTCCTATAATTATATTTTATTAATTTTCATAAACATTTACAGAGATTTTAGGCTTCCACTCATTCATTGTTGCACTATTCTCTCTACCCTCCTCCCAGTTTGTTCTTGTCCAAATGCCACAGTGCTTGTCAAAGCCAGTTCTGATTAATCTTCTTTGTCAGTGTGTCCTTTGCCATTCCCTATCACTCCTCCCTGAGAGAGACTTCACCCTGATTCATAAGGAAAAGGGGATGGCGTATTCTCTTAGCTACTTCCTGCTGAAAAGGGACGCTGTGGGTTTCAGGGTGAAGATCTTCTCTCACTACTCTAAAGGGCCCCTTTGGCAGTAGGAAACACATAGACTATTATGGAGATTGATTTTGGAATTTCTTGAGGCAGTTCTGACTCATGGTGACGACCCAAGGGAGCCCTGGCCGGGCCTGCGTCATCCTCACAGCCCCTCGCTGCAGCCACTGTCAGTGGCTCCTCTTATGATGACCCTCTGCTTTACTAGCCTCATGTCCTCCTCCCTGGTCCCTCCTCACAACATGCCAGGCGTGTTAGATGAAGGCTCAGCACCCCCCCTGAAGGCCGGGTGCTTTTCTGTTGTTGTGAGGTGTTGCTGAGTCAGCCCTTCTCATAGTGACCTCGTGACAGCAGAGGAACCCCCGCCGCTCCTGTGCCACCCCCACGCTCCAGCCCATCGCTGCGGCCACTGGTCAGCCCGTCTCATTGAGTGTCTGCCTCTCTCTTGCTGACTCTGCTTTATGAAGGCATCTCTTGGGGCCTGGTCCATACAGAGCTGTGCTGCTAACACAAAGGAGGTACCTCTCTGGCCGCTGGAGTCCACCAGCTGCTTGGAGAGAGAAACACTGGCGACTTCTCTCCTGGGACGTACGTCCTCGGACACTCGCTGCAGGGTCGTCACCTCTGAGTTGGTTCAGAGTCGGTGGTAATGACTTTGAGTTTTTCTGAGTCACTTTAACAAGCAGATGGATGTCCTTCTCCAGCGACTGGGCTTCCCTGACAGCATGACTAACGCTGTGAGATCAAGTGACCCTGGAGAGGAAATAGTTTTTATTTTTAATATTTTTTTAAGCCATGCTAAGTATTTCTGTAGCAGAACATTTGCATTTCAACAGTCTTCACATGCCCAGTCCTGGCTTTTACTCTGTGGTGCAAGCATCACGATTACCCAGGGTTGAAGCTTTCTATCACCTTTCACAGAAGCTCTGAGAAGTCTGCCCCTGGAGCCTCCGGGCTGCTCGGTGAGAGGGATGAGGCTGTCCACCTTCTAAAGACCAACGGCCCTGGAGACCCGCCGGGGCTCTGTCCTGCTGGGCCGCGCGGCAGTGTAGGGGGCTTCATGGCAGTGGGCGCAGGCTGTCTTGGCCACAGAAATAGTGTCTCTCCAGGATGGTTCTGAATATCCAGACGATAAGCTTTTGCTTCATCTCCATGTTGGGGATCATGTTTTGCCCTACAGAGTAACTTGCGGTGTGGAGGAGGGAGGGTTTGCTTTTAAGCCTGCCCACAGCCATGCCTCCACGGTCCGCCCTGGCTGCAGGGTCGCTGGAGGACAAACTGCTCGAGCTGTGGGGCCAGCAGGGTCAGTGGAGCGTCACCTGGCCTGAGATGGGACGCTGGCTTGTTTACGGCGTGGGCTGCAGCTGCATCTCCTGTGAGGGGAGATGTTAAAGAGCCAGATCTGTTCTCAGGGCCAAGAAACGCTGCATTTGCATAACCTCAGGAGGGGCTGTTCTCGTCTGTGCTTTGGGGGTTTGCAGGCCGCAGGGAGAAGCACCCCTGTCTGTCCCCTACCTGCAGCTTCTAAGAGAATTAGTGAGCTTGTCCAAACGGAATCCCAGCTCAGTCAAGATTGGCCATGGATGAGGAGGCCTTGAGGAGTGCAGGCAGTTCAAGCATGGCTACCAGATGAAGGGTTGGTGGTTCGAACCTACCCAGAGGTGCCTTGGTCAACTCCTCCCGAAAGGTCGCAGCCTTGAAGACCCGATGGAGCAGTCTTGCTCTGTATGTGCCAGAATCGACCACATAGCACCTGACCACAAGGCCTGCTGCCCTCCAGTCCTTCAGACACAGGGTGATCCTGTAGGACAGAGCAGAACTGCCCATAGGGTTTCGGAGGCTGTAATCACTACGGTGGCCTAGTGGTAAGGAGCTGAGCTGCCACCCCAAAGACACATGGTTTGAATCCGCCAGCTGTTCCATGGGGTAAACATGGAACAGCACCTCCTGTGAGATTTACTGCCTCTGAAAACCCACCGGAGGGTCAGCTGTTGGTCAGTTCTGACTCAATGTTACACAACAACAACACAATCATTACAGGAGAAAGATGAGCAATCGTCTCATGCAGTTAACAGCCTCTAAAACCCCAGCAAGGGGCTGCTACGAGGCAGTTCCAGATTGACATCAGTGAGTTCAAGTTTGAAATCTGAGCCATTATGGAAGCTGGCGGTCTCTTTTATTCTCCTGAGATGCAGCTGCTGGGATCAGACCACCAACTTTCAGCGAGCAGCCTAATGCTAAATGCACACACCGCTAGATGCCCTTAGAGCAACCATAACCGACATGAGTAAGATCTGACTGGGACTCACCTCCAGCAAGCGTTTGCTGGCCAACGTACATCTCACACCAGTAAACCCAGTAAACTGAGTGCTGGCCGGGCCTGGGAGAGGCACAGAGGGAAGGAGCCAGGCCAGGCCCCTTGGGGACAGATGTCAGAGTGTCTCTACCCTCCAGAGGACCCTCTCTGAGGCTGGTAGCAGTTGAGCACCAGTGAGTCTCATGCCCTCCTCATAGGGATGTGTGAGCATTGACACAGGTATGCACGAGTATATTTGGAAAGACCAAAAACAGATTTCCTGCCCACTGGGTTTAAAAAAAGACCCCAGCCTGCACACACACTTTGCCAGGAAACCCTGGAGGGCTTTCAGAAGCCCTTGCTCATGATTTGAACCTGTATCAACTGGCAAACACGTGCTACGAGGTGTATTTGGTATGGATTTCTTTCAGATCTTAGCAAGCAGAAGTGCTTGCTTTCTAAGCCTTAGGGAAATGGGCCAAACAGCCAACTTCTCCCTTTTGACTTTGCTGAGCAGATGATTATTTATGTGGGAAAACATTTCTTGGTTGTTCCCAAATGGAGCAGATGCTCGTGAACGTGGGTGTCCCTTCTCCACAGCATTAAACGCTCACTGAAGTCACTCTTCGAATGTGGAGCAAATCTCACTCATGTGGCTGGCTCACTGCAGCCACACAATGTACAGACCTGTAAGGTGAACAGCAGCGTGGGGAGGCTGTCACTCCTTGCACGCATCAACCACGTAAGATGTAAAGGGCAGCATTTGGCCAAGTGCAGAGCTCAGAAGGCAGCAAGGGGGAGGCTAGAAGGATGCATGGGATTGAGACTCACAAGGAGGCGGGGAACACATTACACGGTGTGGATCGCCATTAGTGTCAGAAAACGAAATGTGCGAATGGTTGAACGGAAAGCCAGCTGGTTTTTCACACTTTCACTCAAATCACAATAAGCACAAAACCCCAGTTGAGCGCCATTTTTCATGGTGGCTTTGTCTGGCTTTCTTTAGGTAAGTTGGGCATGGTGGCCACCAGCTGCGTGAATGACAGCACTGAGATGGAGTGTGGGCGCTCGGAAGTGGAGGAGCTGATGAAGGAGGTGAGTGATGCAAGCTGGTAGTCTCGCCCGGGGAGCAGAGCTGTGTGGCTTCTGGTGAGGAGTGAGCTGGCCCTGCCCTGCCTGCCGTGTTCTCCCCAGAGCACCCCTCGACCATTTCATGGCGTGCACTTGCCTGCTGACTGGAAGATTGGCATTTCGAGTACACACCCAGGCACCTAGGAAGAAAGGGCTGGCAATCTGCTTCTTGGGGGGGTGATGATTCTCTGAGAACCTGGGGAGCACAGCACAGTAGCACCCTGGGATGCTAGGCGTCTTCTCTGCAGACCACAGCTGGTGCGTTTTTGGGTGGTGTCTGGCAGCAGGCAGAATTCCTGGCTCTGCGTCTCCCCAAGAGTTATGTGCTGTTTTTCATGTGACTTTTTCTGCTGACTCAGCTGAGAGGAGGCGATGGTTGGGTGGCCACCCCAGAGTCACGAGAAGTCAACTTGAAAACGTCTTGTGGTGGCTTTTGTCCAGCGCCTTTAAGGGGCGGGTCAGGGAACCATGAGCACCAGGAGAAGGGCTTGGCCTAGCGTGGTCCTGGGGCCCAGCCTTGCCAGTACCTGTTCCTTGCTGACTTGGCATGTTGGTTTTGCAGCAGGCTGTGATTCCACCCCAGGTTGGTGGGCCCCAGCAAGGCCAGGTGATTTGGCTGGAATCTGGTGGGTTTACAGTCTTTAGAGTCTCCTACGATTAAGGTGATACTGTGGCTGTGATTGAAGCTTCCATTTTCACGAACTGGAGTGCAAGTGGGGAACATTCAATGACCGGCTGCCTCTCTGTCCCCCATGATACAGCCTTCCGTGGACGAGTACATGGGCATCATCAAAAGGAGCCCCTCGCCACCAGAGGCCTGCAGGAGCCAGCCGCCCCCGGACTGGTGGACACAGCAGGCCGGCCCAGGTGAGCTTCTGTGCCCGTATGTCACCTGCACTCATGGGTCGGTGGTGCGCTTGCTCCGTGCTGCAGTGACTCCCACAGGACAAAACCCTGCCCAGTCCTGTCCCATCTTTGCAGTCTCTGCTGGGCATGAGCCTGTGCTGCAGTCACTGTGTCTGTCCAGCTCATTGAGGGTCTTCCCCTCGTTCACTGAGCCCCCCAACTCTTTGCAGCACGATGTCCTTCTCCAGGACTGGCCCCTCCTGCTGCCCATGCAAAGTGTGTGAGGCAGGGGCTCCCCGGCCTCTCTTCTCAGGAGCGCTCTGCTGCACTGGCTGCCAGGCAGAGTGGCTGGTTCTCGGCGGTTCGTGGTGCAGTCGGTAATCTCCACCCACCACCATTTTTACCTGCTGTGTTGCTGCTGTGTCCCATCAAGTTGGAACCGCCCGGCAGCTGACTCGCCTGCAGATTTTCAGAGTCCGTAAATTGCATGGAGGGATATTGCCTGTGTTTCTCGTGAGGAGCAGCGGGAGGATTCACACCACCCACCTTTTGGTTGGCAGTGCAGTTCCTTCCCTCTAAGCCAGCAGAGCTCCCTATTATCTCCCTGGTAGAGCGGACGTTTTACTGGAAGTGACAAACTCCAGAGTGCTAACAGGAATTGCGATTCTAATCTTGAGATGTTCCCCTCCCACTGCTCTCAGGAGGGGCACCCTCCCTACACTCCTGGAAAGGTGGGAGAGAGGGGTGCAGTGGACGATTTCATGACCAGGGGAACCCACACCTCTGGCCCCTTTGTAATCAACATGAAGGCACTCCTCACAGCCAGAGACAGTCCTAGTGTCTGTCAAGGGGTAGAGATCAGGCCAGGAATGGGAAGGGGTTTGAGGCCAAGAACTAACTGCAGCCTCAGTTTACTCATCTGTACAGTGGACACTGTAGGCTCATGGATTTAAATGAGGCATCTCAGGGCACACAGTGTCACCTGCTTCTAGCTCTATGTCATGTATGGCCCTGCTGATTGGAACAGCACTTCCTCCCAGGCTCTGATGGCCCCCCAGCCCACGAGAGCTGGGTTCCCTCCATTGCCTGTGGGGAGGCCAGTAGGTGGCAGCTGGCCCGGAGGCCTCCAGGGCCACCAGGGCTGGGGAGATGATACCCAGCAAGCTGTCTAGGGAGAGCTTGCTCTCTGTCTGTTACGGAAGCCCCCCGGGAAGCCTGGGTGGGACCCTAGGTGTCCTTGCGGATGAAATGGGTAGTGGACGTGCAGCCCAGTGGTGCATACCACGGTGAGAGGGAAGCATGGCCTGCAATATCACCCTGACACATGGTGACAAATCCCACAGCTTAGAGGAAGTGCCCTCCTCATCCTGGTCTGGCGCTGACCTGGTTCTGTGTGTATGAAAACTGAGCACGGCACTGGGTGGGACGCGGGCTCAGCGGAAGTCTGTGGTGAGGCCTCCAGAGCACGCATGTCGGCTTCTTAAAAGCTTCTGGAGAGGGCACATTTGGGTGAGTCACTGGAGAGATGCCGGGTCCTGAATTTGCTTGTCTCTTTTGACAGCCTTACCGCTGGTGACGGGGTACTCTGCCTATGACACCCACCATTCAGGTATGGAAACGCTCGGGCCCGGCTGGGGATGGAGCAGGCTTGGGGACTGCATAGTCCGAGTGTCTGGGTGGGGGTGACTCAAGTCTCATGAGCTCAGTTGGGCATTGGAATTGGAAGCCTGACTCATCCTGCTGTGTGGTTTAGGAACCAGTGGCCTAGGATCATTGAACTCTTCTCGGACTGGGCCAACGCAGAGGCCTAGCTGCACCAGAGGGGCAGAGCTGGGCCATGGGCATCTGCCCCCTTCAACTCTAGGCACCACTGTGCAGGACAAAGGAAGAGCATGAGGCAGACACACTGCTAGGCCAGCACGGCTTTTCTAGTGTGATGAAAGAGGGCGTGAGGGCCTCTTAGAGCCTCAGGCTCCTCATCTGTAGAATGGGAGCATTAGTAACATCTCCAGCACATTGATTCTGGTGGTTATGGGCACAGGAGCTAGTTACTCCATGAATGTCATTGATGTGGGCCTGGAACAAGACCAGTGGTGATGGCAATGATGGTGGCGATGACGGCCATCATACACAGCTGTGGTGGGGATGATGATGGTGAGGGTGGTGATAGCAGTGATGATGACGATGATGATGAAGGTGGTGATGATGGCAGTGATGATGGTGATGACTGATAGCAGTGACGATGATGATGATGACTGATAGCAGTGATGATGATGGTGTGATGATGATGATGGTAAGATGATGAAGGTGGTGATGATAGATGCCCTTTACTGAGCACTGAGTGACAGACGGCTGAATGCTGAGTCCTTTCGTGGCCTCAGTCTGCCCCCCCCCCACCTGCTGAGGCAGGTACTACCATCCTTATTTCACAGGTACACGTAGCTTAGATGTTGGAGCTGGGATGTGCTGCACGCCCTTGCTTGTCCGTCTGTGCTCCTGACCCTTGCAGGCAGTGGTGGTCTCCATCTGTGTCCAGTCCTGAGCACCTGCAGAGTGGTCTCCCTGCCAGGCGTCTGGGTTTTTGTAGCAAACCTGTTCACAGTCTCCGCAGCTCTGTGAGGCATGGCAGCCTGAGCCGTCAGGATGCGCTGCAGAGGGCAGAGCCAGGCCGAGGCTCTGGGCCCTGTGCTGAGGAGGACACGGGGCTCGGAGGGACGTGTCCCTGCCGGGATCTGCTGGTGGAGGAGGCAGGTCCTCGCTGGGCAGTGAGGATCATCTGGAAGGCGGCGGGCCTGCGTTCAGGCTTTGTGTGTATAGCCGTTTCAGAGTTGAGGACACCGAGGCTTTGGGGTTAAATCACTCCTCCAAGGTCACAGCTAGCAGGCAGCCTCTGGTTGTCCTGAGATCGCTTACACTGAAGCCTCTATAGCACCTGTGAAGTGTACAGAGCTAACTCTTCAGTCATGGGACTGGGCCTCAGACCTGGTCACTGCTGGTCTGTGATCCGGAGTCAGCTGACCAGTGCTCGCTGTGGACACTAAGTGAGAGGTGACGGTCAGGCTGAGGTTGTTCTCCTGGACACGCGACAGGCCAAATAACTTGTGGCATATGGAATGGGTATGGTCTATACAGGAATATAGGCCACACCCTACAGCGTTCATGGAGAGCCTGCTCACGCACACCCATGTGCATGCGCACCTGTGCACACATCCCCACTCATGTACCCTCGTGCACAGTCATGTGCACACACAACCACAGGCATGCACACACCTCTATGTCAACGTACCCCTTTAAGATTGGAGCTCCCGTCTTAACCACAGGGGGATAAAGTCATGCAGTGAGTGACAGGGGGCCTCTGGGACACAGTGGAGCTGCTGGCCCTGGAGGATGCCCTGGATTTGTTGACACCTAGGGGGACGTCCTGCTCACTGTGAATATCCACAGCTCTCCCAGTCTAAGGCCATTGAAAGAAGCACTTGTTTATGAAAATTAATAAAATATAATTATAGAAAGAAAAAAAAAAGAAAAGAAAAGAAGTTAGAGATGTGTATTATATCATGGAGGTAAATATATCCTATTATCAAAGATGACTACATCATAACCATCCAGAATCCGGGGCAGCCAATTTGACACACAATCTTAATCATTACATACTATTGCTGTTATTCTTTTCGCTGTTGTAACTGTTGTTATAAGATGCTGTCAATTTCAAGATGACTAATAACAACCTTCTGAACAGTTGACCTTAAACTTGCCCTATCCTGTGCCATCTTCATCCTCTTTGGCACATTTGAGGCCATTGCTAGAATCCTCATGGCAGTACATCTCACTGAGGGTCTTCCTGTCCTTTTCTGAGCCTCCATAGTCACTGTTTGTTTGATTTGGTTTTTTGGTTTGTTTGTGTGTTTGTTTGTTTTTTTTAAAAAGATATTTGCTGTGAATAAATTGTTGATCATACAAAAAAAAAAAAAAGAAAGAAGCACTGATAGTGTAGTATGTAGTGGGTTAAGTGTTGAGTGGTGGACCAATGGTCGGTGGTTCAAATCCACCCACCATTCGATTAAAGAAAGATGAGGCGGTGTGTTTCCCCAAAGATCAGAGCCTTGGAGACCTTCGGGGTGGTTCTACGCTGTCCTGTGGAGTCAGGACAGCAGGGAGTGGAAGGAAATGTGATTCGCAGCGGAGTCCTCCTCGGCCTCGAGCCGCCCCTTTGTTCCACCTCCAACCAGCCGGTGACTGTAGCAGCCGGTGACTGTTTCAGCCGGTGACTCTGATGAGCATGGTGGCCTTGTCAGTGCTTGATCTTTGTCGAATGCTGCCTGAGTCGCTGCAGGTTGGCGCCATGTCTGGGACGCCGTGTGCGTCAGAGGAGAGCTGTGCTCCGTGGGGTTTGTTGTTGTTGTCATGTGCTCTCAGATCAGAACCAACCCATAGCTGACCCTCCAGCATATCTTCAGAGACTCTAAATCACACAGGAGGGCACTGTTCAGTTTTCTCCCATGGAGCCACGGATGGATTAGAGCAGCCTACCTTTGAGTTGGCAGTGCAGTTCCTTACCACTTGGCCACCAGAGTTCCCTCCATAGGACTTTAGCGGCTGGTTTTTCAGAAGTAGATCACCAATTCTTTCTTCTCAAGAGCCAAGGGGTGGGTTCTAATCCCCAACCTTCAAGTTAGCAGCTGAGCAGATAAAGTGAGGCCTTGGGGAAAGAGGCTCAGCCCTCTGACCATCGCCTGGGGAAAGAGGCTCTGCGTGTGTGTCAGGAACCCCCAGCCCTCTGACCATCGCCTGGGGAAAGAGGCTCTGCGTGTGCGTCAGAAGCCTCTCAGCCCTCTGACCATCGCCTGGGGAAAGAGGCTCTGCGTGTGCGTCAGAAGCCTCTCAGCCCTCTGACCATCGCCCTCTTGTCTTCTAGCCTTCTCACAGATGGTGATCAGCTTCTACTATGGCGGCAAGCTGGTGGGCCAGACCACGACCAGCAGCTCTGAGGGCTGCCGCCTCACGCTGGGCCAGCCAGGCCTGCCAGGCACCAAGCTGTACAACTCCGAGGGCCTGGAGCTGGTCCGCTTCCCGCCGGCCGACACCATTCCCAGTGAGCGGCAGCGGCAGGTGACACGGAAGCTGTTCGGGCACCTGGAGCGGGGTGTCCTGCTGCACAGCAGCCGGCAGGGCGTGCTGGTCAGGCGGCTGTGCCAGGGCCGCGTGTTCTGCAGCGGCAATGCCGTGCCCTGCAAAGACAGACCCAACAAGCTGGAGCGTGATGAGGTGGTCAGGGTCTTCGACACCAGCCAGTTCTTACGAGGTCTGTGCCCTCCCAGGAGGGTGGGCAAGGGGGGTGTGTAACTCTCAGGGCCAGCTGGCCCTTCTCAGTTGGGTCCCTCTGTGGGCCTCGATGCCCTTGATCTGAAGCGGGTTGTCCCAGGGTGTATGGAGCTGACCATTTGGGCGTTCTGAGTGCAGTCATGAAAGGGCACCCTCCTGAGAGCGGGACAGGTACCCGCACCCCTGCACCAATGGGCCCGGGCTTGATCCTCAGCCAGGCCCCCAGGACTAAGGGACTTGCTGTATGACACTTGTTACACCTCCTGGTGCTCCCGGTTCTCGTCCTGTGACGGAGTTAGCTCAAATCCCAGCCCATGAGCTCATTCGACCAGCTGTAGGTGTCTGCCTTCTACGATATTGCAGGCTGGCTCTCCTCCGCATGATAACCGAGCCTTGCCGTCTTGTGCCCAGCCTGGGCATCCTGGAGGCTTCTTGGAGGAGGAGGTGGGAAAGCAGGTGAAGCGGGAGGTGAGAGCAGGGGCTCACTCAGCTGAGCAGGCAGCAGCAGCACCGCAGGGCAGATGGGCTCGTGCAGTCCAGGCCATCACCGTCCCCGCCTCCCTGACCCAAGGATGGAAGGTGGGACCTGGGCATCTGTGTTTCTAACAGCTTCCCAGGGCAAGGATCCCACCTGGAGAACCACGAGTGTAGGGTGTCGGAGGGCTTGTGCAAGTACAGTAGTGCTCCCTGGGCTACGTCTTAGCGGCGTTGTAAGCTTAGGACCTGCAGGCGCCAGTTAAAATGTGAGGGACACGGCTGGGAGTGGAAACTTGACAGCTGTTCCCTCTCAAGGGTCCTAGGGACCAGCAACCAGAGGCAGTCACGCAAGTCCCAGTCAGCCTGAGGGCTGGCAGTTGGAGGCCCTGAGTAGCTGCCCTTGCCCAGACTGACGGACTGTCTGGTTGTCCTGTGAGCTGTGCACAGGTGATGCTGGTGGTCCCCCTGTGAGGGCACCCAGCTGTCCTGTGATGTACTGCTGACCCTGGTGGCCACCCTGTGAGGACACCCAGCTGTCCTGTGATGCACTGCTGACCCTGGTGGCCACCCTGTGAGGACACCCAGCTGTCCTGTGATGCACGGCTGACACTGTGGTCCCCCTGTGAGGGCACCTAGCTGTCCTGTGATGCACAGCTGACCCTGGTGGTCCCCCTGTGAGGGTACCCAGCTGTCCTGTGATGCACTGCTGACCCTGTGGTCCCCCTGTGAGGGCACCTAGCTGTCCTGTGATGCACAGCTGACCCTGGTGGTCCCCCTGTGAGGGCACCCAGCTGTCCTGTGATGCACGGCTGACCCTGGTGGTCACCTCTGCGTGTCTTTCTAGAGCTACAGCAGTTCTACAACAACCAGAGCCAGCTCCCTGACGGCAAGGTCCTGCTGTGCTTTGGCGAGGAGTTCCCGGACCTGATCCCACTGCGCGCCAAGCTCATTCTCGTGAAGGTGAGGACAGGAGCTCTGAGCCTGGGTCAGGTCATGCCTGGGTGGACAGGGGCAGTGGGGTCTGGGTATGCCCACATGTACAAGGAACCTGGAAGGGACAGCGGGAAGGGGACATGTACCACCTCGGCACTGTCTTCCCACACCTGGGACTCTCACTGTCATCTGAATTTGAGGTTTCCCCCCTTATTTATTTATTTTTTTTCTGGCTTCTTTCTTTCCTCTTTCTCCCTGTCTCAATGTCTCTCAATAAAAACATCTCACCATCTCGCAAAAGATTCCATCTATTTAGTTGCTTTCACCTTAAGTGATGGTCGAGGGCTTTGCAAGTCCTCGTCTGACGACTATAGCCAAAGGAATCAAACTCTGATGGTGGAATTCTGGGTGCTGGCCAGTCAGGTCAAGGTGACATGGTGGTTAAAGCCCTCAGCTCCTAACCAGAAAGTTGTTGATGAGACCCCATCAGCTGTGGCTAGGAAGAGATGAGGCAGGCGCAGCCTCAGAAACCCTGTGGGCGGGCCGTGGCTGAGTTGACAAGAGTGCGTCTGGCGTAGCTGCAGTTGGCCAGCTTGGTTGGGACACTACTGTGTGTGTGTGGTGGGGAGGGTGAATAGGATCTTTGTGGGAAGGAGAGCCCTGGTGGCACAGTGAGTTGGTAAATGTCAGGCTGCTAACTGAAAGGTTGAACCTCAGATTTATCGGCGATTCCAGGAGAGAAATGGGGGGACAGGCTGCTCTTGTCCCAGTTAGAGCTGTGGGGGCCCTGTGCGACACATGCAGTATTGTGTTCTGTTGGGGAACTGAACCTGTACAGGGCCAGTGTGGTGGTGGTTGTTGTGTACTATCTGAGAAATGAATGTGTACAGGCCCAGTGTTGTTGTTGTTGAGTTTCATCAGAGAACTGACCCACTGCTGACCTTCCAGTGGGTTTCCAGAGGCTGTAAATAGCCTGGGAGGAGACTGCTCGTCATTCTCCCACAGAGCAGCTGGTAGTTTTGAACCGTGTGCCTTTGGGTTGGCAGTGCATCTCCTTAGCACTAGGCCGCCTGCTCTGGAATCCGTGCCGCTGCACAGGGCTTGGTCTGAGTGGGGTCTAGGTGTCCTTGTTGTGCCCTTGGGTCGGTCTGACCCCCACACCACAGCGGACACTGCTCAGCGCTGCACTGTCCTTGCCATCATGCATGCCTACAAGTCCGTCAGTGCAGCCTCTCGTTTGCAGCCCTGACGTCTGCTCTGTCCTCATGTCCACCCTGCTCAGGGCTCACTCACTGCCCACTCTCATGCAGGTTCTGGGCTGGGGTCATCGTAGAATCGGGCGAGGGTCAAAGCAAGCCCCACCTCACTTCCCACTCCCCTCTGACCTGGTGCACGATTCCTTTAGATTGAACAGCTCTACGTCCGGCAGCTGATGGAAGATGCTGGGAAGAGCTGCGGTGTCGGATCCATGATGCAGGTGCCTGAGGACCCCCAGACCGACCAGGTCTTCCGGATGTTTCCTGACATGTGCACCGCGCACCAGAGACCCTTTTTCAGAGAGAACCAGCAGATCACCGTCTAGGTGTCTCGCCAGACGTCTCCCTCAGCTGCACCTGCATCTGGAGCTACAATTACTCTTGTGATAATCAAAGGATGCCTTTCTTTGCTCTTAATGTAGTAAGGGCATTCTTTGAGAAATTCACGTTGACTCAGACCTGACAGCAGCACCTCTTTCATACTCAGATACAAACATTGGAAATTTCATACTGAATCGTCCAGATGCCATAATGGTGACCTGCGATTGTGTTTCCCCCAATTACTGATTGATTAGTGGCAGTGCTTTCTTGTGAATTTGGGGATGAGTGACATTTCTAAAGATAAGACCTCAACAGAACTAGCCAGTAACAGCTTAGAGGAGAGACGTTTGAGGTCTAAGATCGACCTTTGAGGAACAAAGCTGCTGTATAACCTTTTGCTTATAATTTTATAATTTCATTTGCCTGATTCTCTCTGAAGGTTTATTATTATTATTTTTACTTTTAAGCATTTAACTAAGATTTATGAACTATTTAGACACCTGACTCTGTGTGACCAAAGGCGATAAAACTTGTGGCTTCCTAAAAGACCGTCTATTCTTTCTCAAATCTGGGGGCCAGGAAAACATTTTCATGTCTAGGTAAAGGTATGTCTCTTTAAACTCAGACAATGAAGACTTCTTCTTGTTGCCAGGAAGTGTGGAAGTGTGTTTCATTTATGTGATTAAATACTTCCAGATACCTGCTCTTTTCTACTTGATGAATGATTTTTGCCCTGAGAGTTTTTTTTTTTAAAAAAAATTTAACTTTTCATTTTAACTGTTTTGCATCTTTTTAAAAAGTGACTGGTACATAAAGCACAAATTTTAAAAACCCTACAACTATTGTGAATTCCACAAGCACCTGCTTATGTCCTCAATCCAGTTGGCCCATTCTCTGAGGATGATGTTTGGTGCATGGGCACAGCCAGCGTGGCCTGGGGAGTGTGGACGTGGAGTGCTAGCCCTGACCATTGGACTATCCCGAGGCTCCTGGGTAGAATTCTCCTCATGCCATTCGGAGGAATGCTTTCCAGCAAGAAAGGCCTTCTAGTTCCCCAACCCCTAATAGTCCTGGAGGCTCAAGATGACCCTTCAAATCCTCTTCAACAAAGAGCGATTGAGTGGGATCCCAGTGGAAAAGTCCCACTTTTAGCTCTAGAAGAACTTGCTTTAGCAAGCAACATATCTCTCCCCCACAATGTGTCCATTTTTATAAGGAATTTGTGGTACTGACAGAAAACCAGGTGGAGAAGACTTTTAAGCCCTCAGGCCTGGCTTCCTGACGCAGGACTTCACCATCTCTCTGACTTTGAGCATGTGCTCCGAGGTAGTCCTCACCCCTCACCAGGTTTTCCATTCCAAAAACCACTTGAAAATCGCCTTCAGTATATGGGTGATTAAAAAAGACTCAGCAGTTTCCCCTCAAAAAGGACTGTGCTTTCTTAGCTTGTAGTGCCTCTTACACGTGTGTACGTCTCAGGTAATACCTGTGATGGGGACCCACAGTGTGCTCAGCACCTCCAGGAGCCCCACTTCCTGCCAGGCATGAGCCGCGCAGAGTTGAGCTCAGTCCCACGGTGAGTGTAGACATGGCTGGCTGAGGAGGGGTCTCAGGGTCCACTGGCTTCCACCTACTCACCGCATGGAGAGGAGTATTTTCTGGATTCTTTTCGTTTGTAATCCAGTCTGGACACCAACATCTCTTATTCAGAATCTCACAACCAATGGGGAAGAGGAAGCCTTAGCACTCTGCCCTTGGTTTAAGAAGTGTTGGGACTTGGGGACAAGAATGACCCTGTTATCAGCCAACCTAGTGACCGTGTGACCATAAATGGAGTCACTGATTCAAAACCTGGAAACTCAAAGAAGTCCCACTGACTTTTCTCTTTGCTTCTTTTATTCAAGAGTGAGGTAGTAAGAAGCAATAATTCTAGATTCTCTATGACCCGTGGGGAAGGACGGGCAGTCTCCTTCCACAATGGAACCTCAGGAACCCAGTGAACGGTCACTGTGAGCTGCGTTTGACAATGGCCTTGGATTGTGTGTGTGAGAGTTTACATTTGCATGTATGAAATGGCAGTAAAAATTGGCCTCAGAAAACCAAACATTACATTTTTAAGAGTTACAGACTTATTTTTTTAACCTGTTTATAAGATAACAATAGGATTTAACCTGTAGCTCAGATGAGTACTAAAGCACACATTTTAATATGCTGACTAAATATTTATTTTTTTAATCCATTCTAAAACTATGTTGATCTCTTATTCTTTATGAAAATAAAATGCTCATTTTTTTTTAAAGTTGATGTTTGTTTGATTTTTTTTTAAACTTGCCACATCTTGTATCATTTTACTGGATTCTAGATTCTTTAAAGGGGGGATTAAGAAACCATCCTGCACTGTGGTTTGAAGGATTGTTTTTCACATTCCCATCAAGGAGATGAGCAGGTTTGACTGGATCATGCAGAGTATTAGGCAAAGATTCAGGGCGGTGGGGACACATTACAAACTGAGGGCCTTTAGGTGTCTGTGAACCGTTGGTGGCAAATAGGCTGTAGGGTACGGAGAACGTAGGGATTGATCCTGGTGGTGCGCTCCCCGGCATGGCCACACCTGATGGGGTATCCTCATTCATTTGAATATCCACTGTGTTGGAACCTAGGGGTATGATAGGGGCTAGAGTGGCCCAGGGTTGACTTCATGGAACTTACTCAGGGTCCCCTAATCAATTTCAGGTAGACACAGACACCAGCCAGGCAAGGTCAAGAGGTTCTTGTCTCCAACACACACCAACCACAAGGCATGATGCTTGACCCTTCATCCTCACCTCAAGTCCAGTGAGTGGCTAATGTCCTCTGCGCAGCTTGGGAGGTGCCATCAAGTGCCTTCCAACTCATCATGACCCCATGGACACCAGAGCAAAGTACTGTCCAGTCCTGTACCATCCTCAACATCACATCTATGTTTGAGTCCAGTAGTGGCCACTGTCAACCCATCTCATTGAGACTCTTCTTTTTTTTTTTTTTCCTGCTGACTCACTATTTTATCAAGCGTGATATCCCCCCAGGACTGGTTCCTCCTGGTGACATATCCAAAGTACGTGAGGCAAGATCTCACCATCCTCAATTCTAAGGAGCTTTCTCGCTGTATTTCTTCGAATATTCTTCTTCTGCCCAGGTTTCAGATGAGGAAGTGACTGAGGCTGGGCCGTGTGTGTCCTTGGGAGCATAATGACTGTGACAGGCTTGGTGACAAGATGGTGCTGTTACTTGAGCTCACTGATGTGCTGACACATCAAGGAAGGGCAGCAGCTGGAGGGAGGGTTACTGGCTTTCTTAGAAAACTTGGCAGTGAGAGTTGCGTTAATTCCTGAACCCTGCACCCAGGAGTCTTTTTATAAGCAACCTCTTTTTCTGTCTAGTGGCTTTCAGGGCCAAATATGGAAACTCTATACAGCCTGCATCTCCCCAGAGTTCAACACCCTTGTACAAACAGTTAACAGCTCCTTCCTACTCAACCTAATTTGAGAGGAGAGAATTCGAGGCCAATGCTTCTATAATGACGGAGGAATCTAGCAAACATTGGGGTCTTCGATGTGAACTAGCTTGGAACGTCACTCTCCTCTGAACACTTTTCTTCTGGGACTTGGAGAGGAGCCGACACAATCTAAAAAATGAGCAATCTTTGTATCTTGAACCTTTCTGGAAATGAAGATGTTTCAACAACTTGGGGGAACCTCTAGCTCCCACCAGCCTCGCTTTTACAGATGCCTCTGGGATGCAAGCATTTTGTTTCCCTTCATCCTATCCAGATGGCCCATGAGGAAAGTCTGCACACCAGCATTCATAACCTGGGTCCTGAGGATTCTGGGAAAGTCCTTGTGAAGATGGCTTGACTGGCTGCCTTACTCTACAAGGAAGTAATTATGGGAAACAGAAGGGGGTTACTCGTAACAGGCAGGCTCTCCATAACAGGGGATTCTGAAGTGCAGTTACTCAGATATTTGGTACGGCATCTTCAGGAAATGCAGGCACAATCCCTCTTCTCTCCTGGAAGGCTCTGGACCATCTGCCTGTGTCCACCCTGATTCCAGTGGCCACGCAGCACCTGGCAACCCCTGGTGACCAGCTTATGCTTGTTGGGTGAGTGAACAATGAGTGCAGGTGACCAGGGTAGGGTCTGGATATACACAGAGCAGCTAGTAAGAGAGGCCACTGAGGAAGTGCCGTGGCCCCTGCTGGTCCTGTCCATGGAAGACCGACCGTGGGAGACAGTGCATCCAAAGCCACCCAGCACGTAGTAGGATCTTCCTTCTCATTCTCTTCATCTTGTTTATTTTTTTTAAGGAAAAATGAAGAGTGACACCATTGGATTGCTGGGAGATTGGAAATGAGCTGCCAGAGCTCTGGCCTCGTGAACGTGCTCACGTGCCCCTCCTCCTCCCGGCTTCCAGACCGCTGAGGAAGATGGACATGTTAGTTGGGAGCCTCATTTTTATCTCTGGTTACATAACAGGACTATACGGGAAAGCTCATGTATAAAGGAGCTCAGGTGGCCAAGTGGTAAGGAATTGTGCTGCCAACCCAAAGGCACATTGTTCAAATCCACTACCTGGTTTACAGAAAGAGGATGGGCAATCTCCTCCCGTCTGATTTATAGCCTCTGAAAACTCACTGGACATTTAGCAACAAGCCGGTTCTAATTTAGTGCATGGTGACAATGAGAAAGAAGCGTTAAGGAAGGAGGGATACACACGAGTGTGGAGGACGGGTGTGTGAGCCACAGAGAGAGGAAGGGATTCTTAGACATGTCAGGATGGGCCGTCTGAATCGTCCCAGATTCCAAAGACACAAATAGTGAGGCTTTGAGCACGGCTGAAATCACTCTTGATTGCTCCTGGTGCGGCTTTTGTCAGGAGGGCTGTTTCTGGGAGACTGAGCCTTGCGGCCCAGAGCTCTCTACGGTTACGCACCCCCTTGAGCGCGGTCAGGAGCAGTTACACTGTCC